CCAAATAATAATAAAAAAGGGATTAAAGTGATAATTTTTAGTTGACAGATTTTGTTTGTAAAGCTACAGTAATCTAATGGGGAACCTGGATTTCATGGAGTCTCTATGCTGCCCTGTGGTTACTGGATTGAGTAATTGACAGAAAATGAAAATACAACTGCATGTAAGATGATAAAGTACATGGTCGGTCTCTGGCACCCCAATTTTTTTAAAATGGCTCCAATCCCACCAACACACTTATGAGGGAAGCTTTGTCTTCATCCCTCACTCCTGCAGGAGAGCAGGCTGGTGGGTACGTGTGAGTCAGACCAATTCTGGTAAGTCAGCTTGGATCAGATATGGGGCAGAAAAAAGCTGCTCCTCCTGGAGCACAATGTTATCTGGTGGGTACAGCTACATTAAAGAGATGTAGCTGTTCTGGTCAGGAGATTTATTAACTCTTCATCTCCCCTGGGTTCGTCTCACGGAGTTTGTGCAAGGGCTGCACTGGCTCCCCAGGCAGTCTGCTCTTGAGAAGGAGCCAGGGAAGCTGTTTCCTCTCCTGAGGTGGAAAATGTCCTCTCTGAGTCTTACAGCCCAGGTCAATCCAGGAGGCAGCAAATTAGAAAAAGTTCTGTGGACCTCTACACCATATAGATGTAGAAACTTGTAAATGGAGGTGTGGGCAAATAGGATCATCAAGGTGTACCCCTGAGATCTGTCTCAGAAGCTACACCAGCATGAAGAAAACAGCCAAGGAAAGAGTTTCCTCCTTGCTTGCCTTCCCATTTTTGCCAGCCAGAGTGCTCTGAATCATGGGAGAAGCAAAACTTTTTGGTATTGGAGATATCCTAGAAGCCATAACAAAATAAAAATATATGAGGTGTTTAATACAGAGTAAGCTTCAGCTCAGCTGCAGACTCATCAATGATTATGTTCTTGGCTCTCATTTTGTAGGCAGACCTTCAAAGTCAGCTTTGGTTTATTTGAAATAATTGCTGTAATAGTACCCATCAGCCTGTTAATGTAGAAATCTCAGGTGTTTGGCATTCAGGTCAATATGTCATACATAGATATTCCCTGGTTTTGCACACTGCTTGTTAGTATAATGCTCAGGAATGGACTAATGTCATGTAAATATTTTCATCAGGGCAAGATTATTAGAACTACTCATCCCCAAACTCACATTATTTTTAAAAGCCATATTTCAATTCATAGGAAGCAGGGAAGACTGCACATATAAAAGGCTGCCTCATGGCCAATCTGCAGTTTTTCAAAAAGTAACCCTATGGGAGAGTCTAACTTAATTTGTAATTTCTTTGTCTCCAGCTCAGTGGAGCATGAAAAAGAAACAGTTCCTCTCCCAAGCCCAACCAAGCACACAGGTGGAAGCTAACTCAGGGAAAAGCAGCACACAACAGTCTCACAGGCCTGGCTGCTGAATGATGTGGCCATATCTTGATGTCCACATTAACCATCCAAACCCTACCAAGTTAATATGTTAGTCAATGCTTATCTCAGTTTGGTTCATGGAGCTATGGAGACTTATAATTAGTTCATAAATTTTTTTCCTTAAGCCATTTTTAAGACTGTTATTGGTAAGAAATTATTTGGCTTTTCTGTTGCATGTCTTTTCCACAAGGGTCCTATAATTTTTGGTTGCCTTTTAATTACATAATAGGAGTTCCTTTTCTACAGAATAGCTTCCATTTTACTACAAAAATATTTCCTTTTTGTTGCATAAATATATGAGTGGGAGTTTTTGCATTATTCTGGAAGAGACATCAATACCACTGTTTGGTTTTTTTTATGCAAAAGGAAAAATCAGTCAAGGAAGAGGTTAAATTACTTATTTTGGTTTGTGTTACAGTAGTGATGAAAGGGATATGCTGGCAGATGTGACCTTGGAGGCCAGTGTTCTGGGCACCCTGGAGTCCCACAGGAACAGAGGAAAAGGACCAAGCATGAGAGAACAGTCTGTCCTTTGGGCTTTGGACTGTCTCAGGTCACAGGCTGCCTGTGTCTGCAATGTGCTGTGCACACTAAAAGATGCTTAAATATCCACAGGTCTCATACTGCAGGGTAAAGTACCTTTGTACTGCCTCAATTTCTTTTGTATGAGCTATAATCCTGCTCCAGAAATATACCTTGAAACTGAATTCACACTGGGAGGAGGCAAGAAGTTGGAGAAGTACAGTCACCTCTACAGTATTTCAATTAAATGTGCCTTCAGGATGTTCTAAGTGAATATAGGATATGTGCCCATAGACAATAAAAACTTCTTTTGGGTTATTATAATTTTTATTGTTATGGTTATTACCAGGTATTAGTTCATTTAACCTATGAATTCTTGACTGAGTTCCTCAGTGAGTCCTTTTGGTGTGCCTGTGTTCCTGTGTAGGTGTGTCCATCAGCTCAGGGCACGGTCAGAGGATTGCTGTTGGATAGTTCAAATGAGGGAAGAGATCAGAAACTGGGAGGGCGATGAACAAGAAATAAGAAGTCAAGGTAAACGCTTCACTGCCTTTTGAAGGGTCCTAACTGAAAACTGGTGTGTAGGGTGAGGACTTTATCAAGAGCAGATCATCACCATTATACTTCAAAATATGGCAGCACCTCGGTGTTTTCAGCTCCCATTAGCTGAACCTGTGATAAGATGATAGCTGACTGTTTAAAGGGACTCGAAAGGCTTTTTTGAGGTATTTGGGACTAGAAACTTTGGCATGGTTTCCTTCTGATATGGACATGGTTATGGAGCTTTATAGACTGCCTTATTTCAAGATTTGTTTAATAGTCTTATAATTACATTAAATTGGCCAGGAAATAGGCTGAAGTTGAGGATATGAAGATCTGCCCACCATGCATGATCCTGGATGGCAGCTTGATTTATTTTCATTTCCAGTTTTCCTTGGTTTCATTGCATTTTTGATAAGGAACAAAGGTATTTGTATATTTTAATGTGTGTTTTGTTGGTTTTTGTTTTAATGGCTCTAATTCTAATTGTGTAAGGGGAGGTTTTATGATGATGACTATTACTTATTTTATATTACTATCTTTCTAACAGGAGTCCAGAACTATTAATCAGAATTCTCCAAACAATGGTAGTTGTAGTGAGCAAAGGGTAGAAAATGGGGAAAAGAACAGATAGAGCCACAGCTGCCTCTGCTTCACAGAGCATGCAAGTGTCCCAAATATAAAGACCAAACAAAAATCTTCACATTAACTGCAATTTGACATAGGCTAAATTCACTTAGGCTTAGATACCCATCAGATTGCATCAGCTTTTTCATCTCTGCTGCAACAGGAAACTTTGATTTTATTTCCAAGGGACTTGAGTTTGGGTTCTTTCTAAATTAAGCTGAGTATTAGGGCTAGTAAAAAGTGCAACTGAGCTCTTCCATCCTCCTCCTCCATTCAATTTCATGCCTCCAATTTCTGTGTTTCTAATGAAAGGGATGTTTGCTACCAGGCATCTCACTCGAACAGATTTGGCAAGCTGCTGAGCAATGTAAATTGAAAAACATTTTATATGAATGATTTTTTCTCCATCAAAAAGATCTTATGTCAAAAGTGAAGACAAGTCTCTGCTTTTGCTCTTCCTAATTACGGGATGTTAGATATTAAACATTGAACTGGAAATCCAATTACATGATTATTAATCAGATGCATTTTTTTCAACTTGGAGGAAAAAAGACTAAATGAAACATGAAAGTCCACTGGGAAACACCACCAATTAAAGCAATTAAAAAAGGACATGGAATTCTTAATTTTTACACTTGGCTAGAAAGTTGATTGACTGCTCTTGACTCTCCTGGGAGTGGGTGTGCTGGGTAGTTTTTTATTTGCTTCTTGACATCACATGCTTCTGTTTCCTTATGAAGAAGAATAAATTTTCTTTGCAAGAAAATTTATTTATTGTGATATAGATAGCTGATCAGGTCTAAAATGTTTGATCAGGTTAAGTGATGCCTGTCATTTAACATTTCCTCTCATGGGGAGAAGCACTTATTCCCTCCACTCTTATTCTGCAGACAGACTTTTTGACAGCTGAAGTGTCGACAGTAAATTTCTTTTCCATTAGTTGCAAATTGTACAACAATATACTAAAGTAATTACATCATAAATCTTCTTGCCTTGAAGTTAGGCTCTGTGGTACATGCTCATAAAATAGTGCAGTAGCAAGTAAAATCACTGCATCTGTGTATATTTGTGTTGCAATAATTTTTCTGAGAGTGTTCTATAACACTGAAAAATGTGAGTTAAGGAGGAACTGAAAAGAATTCAGTGTTTCTTACTTTGTATAAGAGAGGAGCTATGGTTCTTCAATAATTAGGGCTACCTTGGAGCTGCACGTGGGTCAAAGCAAAAATTATTGCCAACAATATTTTTAGATGTGCATTAAGAACTGAATAAAATATTCCCTTGATAATCCAGGGTTGTGGTAAGTCTTGTTGAAGATCTGAGTTCAAGAGAGTGTTGAAGCTCCTTAGGAGTGTATGCTGTGTAGACAGAACATCTCTTGCATAAATCTAACCATTGCATGGCTCTAAAATGCTTTGAATATCAGGGAAACATAAGTGAGAATATTTGCACAAAAAGAAGTGACTGCCAATACATCTATTTACCTTAGGTCCCTGGAAAAGGATAGTCAGGTTATGTACCTAAAGCACTCTCTTGGCAGTTGAATGTGAACAGGCATCATTTAGCATTCACCACTGTGTTGCAAACTGTGGCAATAAAATTATGGTTTCTTGGCAGTTTTGTTCTCAAAGCCAAGGGCTACCCTGGAGATAAAGCTGCCTGTAACCATTTTGATACTCCTTGAATCGTGCAATAGGAAAGTTTCTTTCCCCTTTTTGGGGGAAGATGGCAGCAGTGGTCCTGTCCCATCCCATCCACCTTCTGCAGGAGGGCTACCAGATCTTCAGGTTTTTATATTATTTATTTTATATTATAATCTCTGGATTATAATATAAATATTATATATATATATATTATAAGCTTTGGATCCAGCTCTTCCACTGCCAGGTTGGATTTATAGGAGTGCATGTCAAGTTTAATTTGCTACATAGAGTAGGAATCAGCAGTCAGAATGTGTGAGCTTTGTCTCTCCCCAGAGCAATGTCAGTGCTGCCATTCACTATTCACTCCTCCAGAGTAAGGGGCAGCATTTATAGAGTTAGTTTCAGGTTATTTGTGGGTCATTTCCTGGACTATATCTTGTGTTTTGGTGGCACAGAGGAAGAGGGGGATTCATGGTGGTGACCAGATTGCTGTAGAAAACAGAAAAGCCCCACTTTGGGGCTTCTGATCCTGCATAACACTGCAGCCGTGGATCAGCCATGGCAGCAGGAGCCCAGCAACCCCAGGAAATGGGCTTTGCTGTTCTATGGGTAACCACCCTCATACAGACAGTGTCTCTGACTGGGTTTTGAAAGCTTGAAACAAGAATTTGACAGATTCATCTGGGAACCAGGCATGTGCAGGAGCACCAGAGAGATATTTTCCCTGCACGGGAAGTGCATTTGATTATATTCACTATATTTGGTGTGATTTGCTGCACTCAGATATTCAGCTGCAATTATATGGTTAGAGACTCATCATTAATCTTGACTCTGTGCTGCCTGTCAATCTGTTCCCTTACACAGCTTATGGCACTATTCTGAATATTTTGATGAGGAAATATCCCTGCTTTGGAGAGGTTGCTCATGGCAGGATTTCTGTCTGCATTTCCTGTCAGTATCTCTTCTCTTCAATTCTTTAGAGAATTGTCTCTCAAATGACAATGATTATGTCTCCTGTCTTATTCAGAGATCTCTCAAAGCCCTGCTGAGCTGGTGTCTGGATATTAGACCCTCAGCTCCCCCTTCAAAATTATTTGTCCCTTGATACCTGAGCATATTCCTTGGTGAAATCTCTGATTTTTGTTTTCTTCTCACTTTATGATTTCTTAGAATGTTCAGATTAATCTAAGTTACCTCCTTCTGCTTTCTTCCTTCCTAAAAAGGCTCACATTCTTGTTGCCTTTATGATATTTAAAATGCTGTGAAATTTATTTAGCACTCACTGGCTTTCCTGACTTTCAGTTCATTCTTTCATAAAGAACTCTAGAGAGTCAACATATATTTTTCCATGTAGAAGAGCTGTCCAATCAGTGGAGATCCTCTTGTCATTCTTCTACTTCCAAAATTAGAGTCCTTCCTAGGAAAAAAAAAAAAAAAAGTGTAGATGTGTTACTCAGTCAGATTATTGGATATACTGAGGAATGCTCATAGAGAGATCACTTGAAAATCATAGTGTTTCTGAAATTTGTGGATCTCCCTCACAAGTTATACCCTCCTGTGGATGAAAAATCTTTGAAGGAAGCTATAAAACTGGGCATTTTGTACAATTTAGCATAAATGAGCTCTGAAGTTTTCTTTCCCTGAGAGAATCTCTAGGACATCTCTTAAGCTTCCCTGAAGTTCAAACATTTTTGAGTCCCTGTTTAAACACACGTTGGTTGTGCTCTTTTATATTTATGTATAGATAGAGGAGAGGTGGGAAACTGAGATCTCTCTGCTGTGCTTTCCACTGCTGAATAGAGAAGCAAATCCAGATTATTCACTGCACATCTCGCCTTGCTTTTGTTTACATTTGGCATCAGGAAGCAGCTGCTCTGACTCTTCATGAGTAAGATAAGGTCATATTCATCATTCCATGTTTAAATAATCCTTGTGTTTTCAGTGCCTTGTAATACACATCCTACTAGACCATTAAACTATCATCTCTGTTAGGTTTCTATGAAATTTTCATTTTTCCTGCAGCTGATGAAATGAATGATGATGATGTATTTCTAACCAAAAACATCTGGTTTTGGTTAGAGTCATTTAAACTCCCACACTTCCCCAAGATTTCAGAACTGTTAGAAATCAACTTAGTGCCTTTTATCCTTCAGTTCATGAAGACTGGCAACAGTGTTTAAGTGGTGTCCAAAGAGTACTTCCAGGTACATTTTATTTGGGCTAAAATCTGGATTGCCTTGTCAGAAGTTGTTTCCTCTAGAGTTCAGGCTTTATGGTAATCTAGGTAAATTCTATGCAATTATGGAAGAGCAAACAATTTTTTTTTCCATTAGCTCCTATGAAAACTGCTTACTGGACATGGAAGCTCATAAAGTTTTGCTTTATGAAATTGTGTTTTCTTTGTCTTGCCCTCTTTTTGGCAACTGCAAAGATATTAAAAATTAAATTCAATTTGTTTTCTAGTTCCATGGTGGAATTAAACTAATTGAATGTATGTATGAAGTATGAAACAAGTTTATATTTACAAGTTCTTAAAAGAACTAAAAGACTAAGGTGACATTTGAACTAAGGTGCTGGTATTTATAATGCTGGTAATTCTATTTTATAGTATACAGATGATTACCAAAGGTGGGAAAACCCATGGAAAAAGACTGCCTAGATAGGTGGAACTGAGAGTTATTAGGAGAGGTTTTTTTCCAGTGTGGATCCACAACCCCCAAACAGTTTTGGTTTTACCAGAAGCTTTCAGAAGATTTTTGTTTTTTTGTTTTTTGGGTTTTTTTTTTAGGGTTCTTTTTATCATGTTGCTTTCATACTTTATGTCTCCCGGTGGTTCCTACAGGGATAATACAGGGGCCTTCCAGTGGAAGGTCACCCTTTGGCAAGGATTGAGAGAGATGAACTTGATTTGTGCAAATAGACTCTAACAATAATAGCATTAAGAGCTGGATTAAACACATTTGTCCTATACTGCGTCTTGATCCAAAGGACCTACTTATCCATTTCTCACATAGATCAAGGTGTCAGGATGTTTCACAGATGGGGTGGTTGTGGCAAGCCCTCAGCATCACTCAGGGAGCACTGAGGGAGATGCTGATTTCCTAGAAGAGTCTTCCTTAGCGTTTTTAATTGACTCTTGAAAATGACAATCTTAGTCACTAAAAGGAACCCCAGAAGGACAACAGCTGCTTGTTTCAGTATAGTTTGCACAGTTTCATCCTCTGTGTTTGTATTTATGTCTTATACTTCTAAGTATATTAGCCCATTTCAGCTAATTTAGATGAAGGGGCACAGGACAGTAGGATTTGGGATAATTCAATTCCCATGAGGTTTTTGGAACATAGCATCTACAGATTGTGCCAAAGTGAAAACTAAGCACTCTGAGAAATTGTATTTATTCTTTGGTTGTACATGTCTTGAGGGTAGTTTCAAAATAAATGAGAAGCCCACAGGACTCTCTTTTAAACTGATATACTGTAGGCATAGAGCTGTGGTAGCTCTCTGGTATGAGCCAAAGTCACCCCAATGGCAGAGCTGTGTTACTTGCGAGATGATTTCAATCACAGCTTTTCTACCTTGCCTACATTCTGCCTCATAAAATACCACAGAAATGGAGTAAAGGGGGAATGTGGTCTCCACTGGAGACATCTCTGTAACATCAGAAACTGAGTACAGCTAGAGAAAACTGTACCAGGTCTTTGCACCTGGGCTTTGCACCATGCAGCACTGAAATGAAATGCAGCAAAGCCCCACTGTGGTCAGCTGTATCTTTAGTCCTTAAATAGCAGTCAGGGAGATGTGTGGGTCAGTGAGCACCTCCAGCCTTTGTGCAGCCACCATTATTTGTACAGACTGTGCGTGCAGGAGCTCAGTGGTTGTTGATGATCCCACCAGCCTTGTTTCTGTATAGTTTGTTCAGTGTGAACATCTGAAAAAACCCAAGTGGATGACACTTCATGGAGATACATCCCCTGTATTTTTGTTTCCAATTTACATGTCAATGTTCCCTCATCTTTACTGCTTCTGGGAAGAAAAAAAATATTAAATGCCTCATCTTGGGCAAGAGAGATTAATTCAGAGAGATTTTCATCTCAGTACAAGCCTTCAGAGTTGGTTCTTTTTGATTTTCATGGTATATAGCAGCAGATATCTCAAGGCTTGGAGAAAGATACAGAGATTTGAACTGCTGATTAAAAACTCAACTGAGAGCACCTTCTCCAGCATGGCTGGACTTGGAGTGAAGCTGCAGGGAAGTAATCCGGTATCTCTGTAGATATGGAGCAGGAATAGAGCAAATGTTAGGGCTGAGCTTTCTGATGACACTCCTAGAGGCTGTGAAACTCTGGTCTTTAGGAATCCTGCAGTAATGGCTGCATGCTGACAGCTTCCCATAGTGAATTATGTCTTTATTTTGCTGCAAAAAGTGCTTTAGCAAAGATGTGGAGTGTGGCTGAGGGGTACCATAGACCTCGAACAGGACTGCCAGCTCAGGTTGTCCAAGGGACAAAAAGGGACATGACTTGAGGGAGAAAAATTTGCTTCTTCCACCTTCTTCATGTCACAAGAACTCTTGAGTGAGAAAAGCTGTGACAAGCTGGGACGAGCCTTTTTGTTTTCCCCTACACCTTCCTCATAATTAGCTCAATTGTTGTCTGCCACAACCTGGACTTCTGTCTGGAGTGCTGAAAATGTCGAGATATTTCTTATGTTCCTCAGGATAAGAAACCACAAGCAGCAAATCCAGCCAGTCTTTTATAATTAAGCAGCATTATGAAAATAATTTCTCCATTTCCATTGGCTGGTGGTGCCATTGATTGTACTATTCTCTGGCAGTCGGCGCCAGACTTATCCTTTCAACCACAAAAAGATCACCTCGCTTGCCTCTCAGCTGTGGGATTTCTTTCTTTACGTTCACTGCAAGACCACACTTTGGCCTACTCGGTTTTATCCCTTCAAGTATCCTATCAGGTCTCTATTTCTGTAGGAACTCAAAACATTCTTTTGTTGTGGCAGAGAACAATGGGGTTTCAAACAGCTAAAATGAAACATGAAGATCTCCTAAAAATGCAAAGTGACACTTTTTCTTCTGCACTGTAACGCTGGACCCTCCTCTAGAGGTAAAGAAGATGGGCCATTCCTCTTTGCTGGAGGTTTCAGGGATCTTGCAGCAGAGTCTCTAGGGCTTTGTTGTGGTTAAGAAAAATGCATTTACTGCCAGAGGGCAATAAAATTAAGAAAAAAGTCAATAGCAAATAGTGACAATGATTTATCTTATTTGAGGCCTACAAAACAACTAAAACTGAAATTGTCTTCAAGTAGACACAAAATACAGTTTGTGCAATAAAACTCCCAAATCAACATAAAATCTCTTCCTATCTGGAACAGCAAGAATCTGGAATTTGCTTGGTTATGGGGCATAATATACCAGATTTAGAACTGTGTAACCTACTGCCAAAAATAGTCAAACTATGGAAAGCTGTTAGGAATATGGCCTAATCCAAGGCATTAAAACCTATGCATGTGTTTATGCACATTTCAAAATTGTTAGTAATGAGGAGATTTCCCTGCTTTAGTTACTGGGTGCTGATACTCTGGAGTATCTGCAATGGCAGATAGTGAATAAGACAATTTTCTTGAATTGGTGCCTGAAACTGCTAAGTCTGTGAGCACTCCCAGGAAACAGATCCAAGGATTGATTCGAGAATCAGCACATCATGAGACCCTCTGGGAGCCTTCCTTCAGTCTTTCATAGATTGTAAGGCTCTGGGCATCTGAATGTAAGTCATTAAAGCTCGTAATTCTATCCATTAGTACACTCATTAATATTTCTCAGTAACTTGGGATACAACATTTCTCATGACAAGCTTAGAAAAGTTTTCTCTTCCATCTAATTTTATCCTAGAGACAGCTATAAGGAAGTAAAGCTCACCACTGAGTGGGAGAAAAACCTTTTTGTAAAATTTATGTTTGCAGAATCTGTCCTTCTGGGCAAAGCAGTTAGAAGCATTTTACTTTAGAGATTAAAATCTTCCATGGAGTTGTTGAATGTAGGGATATTTAACTTTTGTCATTGGGCTCAGTGTTCTAGCCTGGAGCACATTGAACTGCTAACAGTAAAACAATGAACTTTTCACAGCAGGTCTCAAAAGGAAAAACAAAGAAATACAAATAAAAACTTCTGGGACCTTAGGAACTGGATAAACATGCTGCTAAATTGTTCATATGCTCCAGATGACATTATCCAAGTTCCCTACCAACTTGGATTCTTATGGCGTATCCCTGCTGATGTTGGTTATTTCTCATCTCTCTAATTCCCTAGTTGTGCTAACAGTCACTGAAAACTCAGTGGACCTCTCTGGATAAAATCTGGATGGGGCATGACCAGAGCAGTGCTGGAGTGTATCTGCTGAGTAGAGC